CAGTCTGTCTGTCTATGTGTCAGTCCTGTCAGTCTGTCTGTCTGCATGTGTGTCAGTCCAGTCAGTCTGTCTGTGTGTCAGTCCAGTCAGTCCTATCAGTCCTGTCAGTGTATGTGACAGTCCTGTCAGTCTGTCTCTGTATGTGTCAGCCCGTCAGTCTCAGCCCGGTCAGTCTGTACCTGCATGTCCTGTTCCTGCTCTTCAATGGTCTCTTGCACTAGACTCTGCAGGCGGTTCTCGAAGGTCCTGCTCTCCTCAATCACCAACAGGGACTCCTCACTGAGAAACATGACATACACTGTCACCACACAGTGTCACACAGCACACACACACTGTCACCGCACAGTGTCAACCAGCACACACACACACTGTCACCACACAGTGTCAACCAGCACACACACACACTGTCACCACACAGTGTCAACCAGCACACACACACACTGTCACCACACAGTGTCAACCAGCACGCACACACACTGTCACCACACAGTGTCAACCAGCACGCACACACACTGTCACCACAGTACAAGCTGGTGTTGACTGTACATTCTGCACAAAGCAAACAGCAGACAGTCTGTCCCATCAGTACTCAGCACGAAGACATACTGGGAAGAAACGCGCTCTGTTCTCACCAGTTCAAAGTGGGGTCTAGGCTGGCCCTCTGTGGGGGGCGAGCGAGCAGCGAGCGGGGGGCAGGTAGTGGGGGCGTGGGGGTGCCCACACGACAACTGGGAGCCCCCACCTCAGGACTGTCACTCACAGGACTGCGCACCTTGCTCTGAGGAAGAGGAGGGACGGGTGGGGGTGACACAGGAGTGACAAAGCAGGAGGGAGGCAGAGAGAGTGAACGCAGATTTACTTGACAGGGCTGTGCAAAATGACCACTGTAATGCACTGTAGAGAGATTCACAGGACAGTACAGTAAAATGCAATACATCACAGTATAGGAAAGCACAGAGCTGTACAGCAGTGCAAGCACAGTTCTGTATACTGCTGTAGACTATAGGGCCTATAGCTCAGGAACGTTTAGTGTAACTCAGAGCAGTACAGTATAGCATAACTGACTACGATACAGTACAGTGTAGTACAGCTCCGAAGAGTAGTGTAAAGTACAGTATAGTACAGTTTACTATAGCTTCAAACAGTCCAGTATAGTATAGCTCGCAACAGTACAGTAAAGCACATCTATAACTCATGATGGTACAGCATAGTAAAATCTACAGTAGCTCAGTACAGTACAGTTCAGAACAGTGTGGTACAGGCAGTATAGTGGGGGACAGAGCAGTGCAGTATGGTATAAGACTCACACAGGCGACCTTCAGGAGGTTCCAGAGCTCCTTCTGCCGCCGTTCCTGCAGACTCATAACAGTGCGCTCACTCTCCGCCATCCTGAGCACCACGCCCTCAACACGCGGCAGCAGCTCCATGACCCGCG